CTTTGTGACCTGGCATTAGACAATGGGGTTCTTAAATATGGTACCACATGCAACTGAAGGAAAAATACATAAATTGGACTTAATCAAAATTTAAAACTTGCATCAAAAGACGCTATCAGAAAGTGAAAAGACAATCCACAGAATGGGAGAAAATATCTGCAAATCATATATCTGATAAGGGTCAAGTATGCAGAATATATAAAGAATTTTTGTAACTCAACAATAAAAAAACCCAATTAAAATTTTTGCAAAGGAGAATAGACATTTCTCCAGACAAGACATCCAAAGAGCCAATATACATATTAAAAGATGCTATTATCATTAATTAGGGAAATGCAAATCAAAACCACAAAGAGATATTACTTCACACCCTCTAGGATGGCTATAACTATAAAACAGAAAATAACGCATGTTGGAGAAGATGTAAGAAACTGGAAACCTCATATATTGCTGGTGGAAATGTAAATGGGTGCAGCTACTTTGGAAAACAATTTGGCAGTTCCTCAAAAAATTAAATGTAAAATTATTATATGACTCAGCAATCCCACTCCTAGATATATTCCCAAAAAAACTGAAAACACACACACACACACATTCCCTCTCTCTCTCTCTCTCTCTCTCTCTCACACACACACACACACACACACACACACACACACAAACTGTACACAAATGTTTATAGCAGCACTCCTCACAATAGCCACAAAGTAGAAACATGCGTCCATCCATGGATGAATGAATAAAGAAAATGTGGTGCATCCACACAACGGGAAATTATGTTCAGTCACAAAAAGGAATGCAGTGCTGATACACGCTACAACATAGCTAAACCTTGAAAATATTACGCTAAGTGAAAGAAGCCAGGCACAAAAAGCCACATGTTGTATGATTCCATTTATATGAAACGTCCAGAACAGGTAAATCATAAACAGAAGTAGATTAGTGCTGGTCGGAAAATGGGGTAGGGGGCAAGTGGGAGTGACTGCTAATGGGTATAGGGTTTCTTTTTGGGGTGATGGAAATGATAGTGGTGATGGTTGCACACCATTGTGAATATGCTAAAAACCAATGAATTGTACATTTAAAAATGATGAATTTTATGTCATGTAAGTTATATCCCAATGAAAACACTTTAAAAGAAAAAAAGAACTAAAAGCAAAAAGTTAAAAGTGGTTACCTCAGCGGGGAATGAGCATACTCTTATTCTTCATGCTGATTTTTGTAACCATGTGCAAGGTAGTCTTTAATAATTTAAAAATTCATGTATACCTATTTATCCCTTTTGCCACAGTTGCCCAGGTTCTCTTCTCTGAGAACTTACCCCACTGTTGAGGTGTGGGCCTCAGTAGTCGTGACTGTCCCACATTCCTGCATAACTCTGTTCCCTGGCAATAGCTGACTAGTTCATGAGCCTACTACTGACTCTATGCTGAGCCAATCAGATTCTCTAACCCTGGAATTTGGGATTAAATGGAAGAAGCTAACTGGTGTGGGTTGGAACTGAGAACAAGTGAATTTGGGAGCTGTGGAGTAGAGATAGATGAAATTGCTCGGATTCCTGCTAGCTTTCCAGTTTCTGATCTACTCAGTAGTTTCTTAGGATACCAAGCCACCCTGTCTGCCTTTGGGTTCTACAGCCTTGTAACAAATTCCTTTTTTTCAGTGACCTACTGAAAAATCCAAGGAGAAATACAAGGTGGGCACAGACAAAAGGGGGTGAATAGCCTGTTTAGAGTCATGGTGACAATAAAAAAAGCAGACTGACTTTTGGCCAATTTTCTTACAGCTTTAAATTCTCTAAAATGCTAGAAAATATTCTTCCCTGCTATCCTCCATATACCAATACTCTTTTTTTGCATGAGATACTCTAGTTCTAGTTCTGTTTGATACAATCTAAGTACCTTGAATATAACCAAAAATAATGATCATGACCCAACCAAAAATCTAGAGAAAATAGTAAAGCAAATTAGTTGATAAGCATTCCCACTTCTGAAATTAACAGCAGTTATTAACTCAAGTTAATTCAAGCAAAGAAATTTTCTTTTAAAAAAATGATTAAAAAAGAAGTATACAAAACTTTTTTTTTTTTTTTTTTTTTTTTTAAGATTCCTGCCTTTGCTTAAGGGAAGCAATCTGATATGGGTCACTAAATGAGCAATCACTGTGGGGACTAACTCATTAGCATTATGCATGTAATAGAGCCCAATAGGGATCTGCCAAAAAAAAGTATTCCTGAATCTTAATTTAAGCCTTTGGACCTCAATATAAAATCTTTTAGAAACTGGAACATTAAAGGCATTTTAGGAAGGCTTACAGAAAAAAAAAAACTACATATGAACAATTATAATATGGCAGATACAAATTCAAAATACAGATTGGGTCACAAAGATAAATTACGGTTCATATACTTATGATTGGTTACTCACAGAATTTCAAAGTTCCTTATCTGAACCAAGAAGAAAGAATTTGGATTTGTATGTGAAAATAACTCATACAGGGTATGATCATGAATTCTCTGAATCAATGTAAGGTCTGCCAGGACTGTTCTAAGTTTGAGATGTGTAGTCACAGTTACCATCCCAATTTATACCATTTCTAATTGGTTAATCAGTTTTTTTCCACAACCTCTGTTCAACAAATGTTCACAGAACACTCGATGTACAAGGTGTCGTGTAGGCAATGAGGATATACCCGTGAATAAGGCAAATTCAGGCCAAGAATTCCCAGAGTCAAAATCCAGAAAAGGAACCGAAGAAACAAGTAATTTCAACAACGTGCTTTACATGCTCATTTCTAGGACACGTAGGATCGTGGAATAACATGAAACAGGGATACCTAACTTACAATAGGTTCCCAAAGGAAGAGTAAGACTTAGCCAGGTAAGTTAAAGTGGAATGGGAAGGGGGAACCTGGCAAAGGAAACAGCTGACTGATGCAGAGGGCCTAGAGGTAAGGTTCAAAAGTGAGAGAACGCAAAGAGGATTTTTCCACATGAGGGGAAATGTAGTGATGAGGTCTGAGAGCTAGGCAGGGAACCAAGAAAGGACTCATAAACCACAACCGACGTGTATTACTTTTCTATGTGGGGGGAAAATGGATTTAAAACAATTTCCTACTAAACCAAATTGTCTACAAGTTGAACACTGACTTCTCATGCAAACATACCCATAGTGCTATTATAAAGGTATTCAATATATTTAGTGATAGGAAAATGCAGCAAAAAATGTATAACATACTTTACAGCTTCTACAAAAAATCATGACTACAAGACAGTGTTAGTTTCTTCTCTATAAAACACAACCTATATGGGAACAAGACATTCTTGGGTGGGAGGAGGAAACACTTCAACAAGGTCCAGAAGGTCCAGATCTCCACAATTCACAAAACTTACAAATGTCTGTAAAGCCAGTATTTTATATCCAAATTATGCCCTTCCTATCCTATGATGAGATGTGTCCCTTGGGATCACACATGTAGGAAACTAAATCTGACACAAAGACATTCAAATCTATACCAAATATAAAATCTCATTTATTCAGCACAACTAAGGTACAGGGTATTTCTCATGAATAAATGTTTAAATTTTTAAGTATGAGTAACTGGAACGTCACCCTTTAAGCACCAAAGCTTTTTACATTTGAATGATTTTTCCTATAAAGTATCTATGCATCTACAACCTTGAAAACCAACTGTGCAATTTAATCTTCACATTTTGAGGTCATTATTTTGGACATCAATTAGGCGTTCCAGTATTCATTATGAACATCAATTACTAGGATTTGGTGGAGAAATATCTGCCCCTTCCTCAAAGCACCCTTGATAGATATACAATGATTTGGGGGTTCGTTGTTTGTTTTTTAAATATATACACAGATTATTTCTTCTTTATCAGGTTATTTATCAGGTTATCAGTGTTCTCTGGCTATACAATCCAGATGCCTATCTGAGCCTTCTAATTTGCTGCCCCTAGTTTCAGCCTGGGAAACCAGGTAACTAAACTATAGTTATAGTTTATAGGGAAAATGCCTCAAGTTGCTGAGTCCCTCCTACAAGAAATACATTTTACACCATCAGTTTTGGCTGCTGGGACTACTTGGCTTATTAGGTGTTCTTACTAATATCCCACGATACTTTGAATGAGCTAAGGCCACTCCGCAGTCAAGTCAGGTGCCACGGATCTTACTTACACACACCCTGATTTCTGGTTGCCTCCACCACTCCTAATTGCAGCAAGACGTGAGGGAGGTGTCAAGATGCCCTGTTAACCGCAAACAAACCTAAATTTTCCTTTGTGTGCCCTTAGCAGAAACGTAGCACAACACTAAAAACTGCAACTAAAATTTACTAAGCTTGTTTGCAGCGTTCGAAGCTCTTTCTATGTAGGAACTCAGCTGAATAGCTCAACATTTCTGGCTAGCTCTGGCACAAGAGGAGATGTGTACACTAGACAGGTTTTAAAGCCACCCTAACAGAAAAATTAAGCTGTTACACTAAATCTTATCTTGAAAAGGGAGGATGTGTGTAATAGTAGTTAGAGCCAACTTCTGCTGCGAGCGAGCACTCCCGCGACACACCGGAAGTTTTGAAATATCCTGCAGGCTTCCCATAGGCAAAGTGCTTTTCCTTCGCCCCATCGCTGCTGGTCCTCCCGAAGGTTCAAGGACCTCTCCGAGTTGTGCCGCACACGGGGCTCGGGCCCCCGGAGGAGCCACGCAGGGGAGCCAGGCCGTCAATCACGGCCGGCCGCCGGCTCCTCGCCGCGTAACCTTGGCGGCTCCGGAATCGCGAATCGGGCAGGTGGGAGGCACCTGCGGCACCGCCCGGCCTGAAAAGGCGGGGGGCGGGGGTGGGGTCTTAGCGCCAGCGGGCGCAGGCCCGACTGGCCGTCTCAGCCGCACGAGACCCCGAGGTAGCCCCGCGTGGGGCCGCGCGGCGGGGCCCGGCTCCCGGCTCGGCAAACTCGGCGGCCCGCCCGGCCCGCCCCCGGCGCCGCCACTCACCGAAGAAGCCCTGCACGATTCCCAGCGGGTGGCTGAGCCAATCCTCCCCACAGGGCATCTCGCCGACGGGCCGGGGCCAACGCGGCCCGGCGTCCCGCGCCGTGGCTCCTCCTCGGGGGCTTGGCAGCTCCTCGCCCGCGCCTTCCCACGCAGAGCGAGCCTCGCGGAGCTGTTCGCCCGATCTCAGGGAACCACGGCTGTGGTGGTGGCGGCAGCCGCGGAGCTGCAGGAGACCGACAGGCTGCGCGTGCAGACCCTCAGGCTCCACTTCGCACAATGGCGGGAAATAGGCGCCGCCGACCGCGCTGCCTGCGACCTGGGTGGAGCTCGAGCGGGAGGGGCGGCGGGAGCGCGCTGCGCGGCCCCGCGGGCGGGAGG